TGTAAGGCTGTGAGGTTGTAAGGCTGTACACACATAGGACTCCCATGCATGTCAAAACGATTCTGATTGATAAATAGTTCTAGTACAGATTTTTGCAAGTGTGTCATGACATGTCGGTTGTTATTGTCACACAAGCTCATAGCAAGAATGACCATAAGACCTTGCAGAGAAACCTTACACCCAAATGCAGACCCTAAACCGGGACACATTTGATTAGTCTCCTCAGCAGCTGCTATTAGTGTTGTCATGCAACACTCACTCCCGGCTGCATGGGAGACTAGCAAGCTATTAGAATAAGGTAAATCATTAAGGTACAGGTAGAGTCAATCCCCGCTAACAAAAATTGCACAGAAACATAGTAATAGCTGTTTACATCTTTCTGCACTTATGAAATTTCCTTCAAGGTATTACAGTGTGAAACATTTTTTTGTTAATCAACAACTAAATAACTTAGAACAGAGCTAAAAATAATGGCCATTAATTGGACGATGTCCAGCCAGAATTGGAACTTGTCCAGTCAAATCTTTGCCTTGTCGGTCATGTTTTTGACCAGTTACGTTGAGCAAAAAACAAGATATGACCAAGGAGAGAATTTGGACGGACATTATGACTGGCAATATGACCACCCATTATTTTTAGCCATGTTAGACAATATTGTAAAGTGGATGGACAGAACCCAAAACAGTGACCAACTGTACATCTCATATTATCTGAGATAATTTGTTTCGGTCACAAAAACCCAAATGAAAGTCTAGAACTAAGTTTCACTTTTTGGAGTACTTAACATTTGTAGCTTCCAGTGTCTTGATATGTCAATTTGACCACTTGAATCCCTAATGGTAGCTATTGCCTTGCGACATTAAATTTTTTACAAACTCTATTGAGAAATAGCACTTCTTAATATAATATTTCTTACTGGTGGGGAAAAAAATCCTTAAAACGGGCTAAATTCAAGAAATAACCACACAGAGCAAAAGAAGTGCTATTTCTCAATGATCGGGTAAAATTTTGAGGCTTTAATTCACGTTTCAATGATTTTATTGAAATTTTTAATGAATCACCATACATTTCCTTATAACATGAGACCACAGAAACCAAGCTTGGGCTACCTGTGTTGAAACCAAGCATTACTTATTATCAAAGAAAAAATGAAAGTATAAGTATGAGATCTGAAATGGAAGAAAATTATGCCCAATCTGAATGAATCTAATAAGATCAGATAACTCAAGAGCATTGTTAGAGTGAATTCATTAAACCCATGAAATAGATATTTGATTAATACACTTTAGTAGACCCTAATTCCATTGTTTTCTTTTGTGTCTATTTGACTATTACACATTGACTAGTATTTTTTATTTCATGGGTTAAATGCCTTCACTCTAACATGTTAGCCCGGCGGGGGGTACTCCCATATATGGACTATACAGGGATGATCCACTGAAGAGGGTATGGTTTCTCGAGCTTCTTGTCAAAAACAGGGTATGCAATTTCACTCAAGGTCCAAGTTCTTCCGGATTTTCTTGTCATATTCAGGGTTTCTACTTTTGTATTGACCAAAACTGGTTATCATGGTTGTAAAAAAATGATAAGCGAGATGACATGATAATTGAAACAGGAACTCAGTGCAATTAATTATATCTTTTGTCATAAACAGGGTCTACAAATTTGATTTTTTTTGTCATAAACAGGGTACCCCTTTCAGAATCCCAGTGGAACACCCCTACCCAAATTCTGACGGAGTACCCCCCCCCGGCAGGTTACAGTTCTCAAAGCCTACCCAAATTATAGCCAAATTTATTCAAAGTTTCTATCAAAATAAGATGAGAATATGTGGACCGCATAGCACTTATGAAATACATGAAGATATAGAAATATAGATAAATAACCTCGTTCCCAAGCACTGTAACTTATCTATATTTCATATCTTCATGTATTTCATAAGTGCTATGCGGTCCACATATTCTCATCTTTGCATCATAATTACCGCTACCTAACATCTATTTCACCCCGGCCTGCTCTCAGTCTGACCTCTAGCTCAGCTGGTAAAGCATCGGTAGTACAATTCCGAAGGTCGTGGGTTTGATTCCCAGCGAGGTCAGAAATTAATTTTTCCGAATTTAATTCCAAGGGCTTTCGCCCGGAATAACCTTGTTCCCAAGCACTATAACTTATCTATATTTCTATATCTTCATGTATCAAAATGAGAGTGGTTTTCATAAACCATTAATAACCCATTAAACACTATTACACTCCTATTCTTTTGTTTTCTATTGTGTTTTCCGACTATTACACTCTATTTACACTTTGTTTTACGGGTTTAGACCACTATTTCATCGGTAGGTAAAGAGGTCTATTCTCGGGCTCCCTGTGTAATTCCACAGGRCTCCCAACCAATCGCCGTACGCGCAGGCGTAAAGGAAGTCTTGTTTGCACCAAGAGGTCAAATGGCGGAAAAACTAAATACTTCTTTGTTCAATTTAAACAATTGTTCTTCCTGACAATAAACAAGCTAAATAGATACAGTAATCCTACTATACAGAGTCTACAACATATTATCTGGAAAGGTGTCAGTCATGACTCTTATGGAAGGAACACTGTGGAAGTGGACCAACTACTTGAGTGGTAAGAAACGAAAAATCCGTTCATATTTGATTAAAAAAAAGAGATTTGGACTTTATTTCTCGAGGATATTATCTCTTTTTGTGCTGAGTGTCTGTTAAATTGGTACGTAATAAAATAATGCGTAATTTTTTTTGGAGGATTTAACTTGAAATGTAGACAGTAAGCAAGTTAACTTATGCATTTAATAAACTTTTTTCTGAGAAAATAATGACGTATAGAGCACTCTATAAGCTTAAACTACGCCTAGAGAAAGTATTTCAGTACTCAAAATCATTTGGTTTATAGATTTACTACATGTCAGAAGTGTTTAAAGCTTAATATATTTGATCTAAGAAGCGGTCACAGTGATACATAATAGTTTTAATATTAAACTAGTTTTAGTTTTTTTTTATACAGCTGTACTGTCGGTCCAGTGTTTGTTGTTTAGTTTATATTTATTATGTTAAAGTCAAACCAGCTCATGCGTTCCTATTAAGGTTCAAAGATTCAATTTATTATCGGAAGTTTGATTTCCATACTGCTTTGAAGTTTGCATTCCCAGGGGGGAGGGGGTACTCCCCTATATTTGCTATACGGGTACGTGCCRCCAAACAGGGTATGGTTTTCAGCGATTCTACTTTGGAACGGTACATAAAATCGCGCTCGCTCTGGAACTGGGTATACAATGTATGAAATCACGCTCTCTCCTCTCTGGAACATGGTATCTATTTTCGCACTACCGGAAAAGGGTATGATTTTCAGTGATCTTTCTCTGGAACAGGGTATGAATTTCAGCAATTTTTACTCTGGAACAGGGTCAGGGTTCAGAGGTCTCAGCTGCACATCCCTACCCTAAACCTAAACAGGCAAGAGTACCCCCCCGGCTTGCATTAATGAAACAAATGTTGCCAACTTGAATTCTGGGCTTGGATTAAAACTTTATTTAGTTCTTCACAGTTCGTGCAAAGCTTGAATTATTTTAACAATCGGAGCCACCATTTTAAGTTTAATTTGTTTGGTGTGCGGTTTTGTTCAAAATATCCTTTCACGAATGAACATTTTGATGAAATGATGAAAATATATATAATGAAATGATATAATGAATATAATATAATGAAATGATGAAAATATCTTTTTCCATGCTTAGTTCAATAATATAATAAAGCACTGATTTAGTAAGCCCTGAAAGCACTAAGAAGTGCGAGAAGGCACAGCAAAACACTTTACAGCTCCATAATTTTTGGCCAATTAGAGGATGTAGGTTCATGACTAGAGCAGATGCAATTAAACCGTGAAATAAAATCAACCTAAATACTAACTAATAGTATCTATTTAGTGACTAATAGTTGCTATCACTCAACCAGAACATTCATCATACAGAGACAAATACATAAGAGACCATTTGTATCTTTTGTTTAATAAATGTTCTGGTTGAGTAATAGTGTCTATTAGTCACTAAATAGATACTTTTTGTCAGTATTTAGTTTGTTTTTATTTCACGGTTTAATTGCATCCGCTCTATGTAATAATTTAAAGTGCTACTCTGACGAAAATCGCTCAAACTTGGATTCAGCTGAAACTTCCTAAGAATACTCTTTAAAGGTCCAATAATCACTGTATGAAGTGTTTTCTCGATATTCAGGACGAAAGTATGATATTTTTACGATTATTTTTTGGAGTCTGTGACGTCATACACTCAACATCAAACATTGCTACATATATTTCTTTGTATATAAATCCTTAATTTATTTTATTCCTATGAAGCCCAAAKGGTGGCTAATGTGCTTATTTCACATTACTTGTGACTTAGTATAATTTATATTTTGGGGTGTTTGGGTATTTCTTTCTCCCTTTACTACTGATATTTTGATCATAAACTACAAAGAAATGTATGGAGCGATGTTCGATGTTGAGTGTATGACCTCACAGACTCCAAAAAATAATCGTAAAAATGTCATACTTTCGTCCTGAATATCTAGAAACCACTTYATACAGTGATTATTGGACCTTTAAAGAGTATTCTTAGGAAGTATCAGCTAAATTCAAGTTTGAGCGATTTTCGTCATAGTAGCACTTTAAGAAATATAAAGTATTTTACTTTGGCATTTGGCTTTTTATTTTTAAGGCATAATTTCTTTATTTAATAAAGAAATAACCTTCCCATAAATTTTTTTAGGCTGGCAGCCACGATTCTTCRTTCTTGAGGTTGGTGTTCTTGCTTATTATAAGTCCCAAGAGGAAGTTGGGCGTGGTAGTAAAGGATCCATCAAAATGGGGTGCTGTGAAATATCAGGTCAATACAATTTTTTACAATAACTTAGAAATTTCTCGCACGCTGATTGGTTATTTCTTATCATCGATAAGAGGACAGACAGATAAAGCTCACGTTAACGAGTGCGTGCTCTTTCCGTTTTTTTTTTCATTTTTGTTATCTTAAAAAACAAATTTGACATCAGATTTTTATGTCTGTCCTCTTATTGACAATAAATTTCACCATCACATTGTCAAAGTAGTATGTGACACTACTTTGACAATATGATGACACAATTTATCATCAATAAGAGGACAGACACAAAAACCTGATATATGGAAAAGCTGTATTCACTTCATATTATGTTTACTTTGATCATTATCAATTTCCCCCCTTATGGACCACTAGTATCCCAAGGGTGCTCCTGTCTGTAGAACCATGTCCAGCAGTTGCCAAGCTTTCACTGATATTGGCAGTTATAAGCCATTATATATGTTGTAACCCTGAGGATGGCCAATATGGCTGAAAGCATGGCAATAAGGTAAACACAGAACATATGTACTGTACTTACAGGTAGTGGATTTGGCTATACAGTACAGCCCAGAAACATGTGAACATTTATCATGATTTTTGCACCTAGTGCTCATGATCTGCTCGAAATTTTTTTGCACCTTTCTTTATTGTTGTTCATGAGCAAAATGCGAGCAAATGCTGACTAAAGTTTTCTCTTCCACAAAAATCTGTTCCACAAGGATTCTGTTTGGTTCTATTTTCGAGTTCAAATTTTTAGCTGGTTCGAGCTGTTTTTTTTGTCGATTCGGACAAACCGACAAAATTTGGACAAAAATCGGCTGCAGCAACGTTTAACAAAACGCAAAGATTTCAAATGTTCGCAAGTTTCTGGGATGTACTGTACATATGTACCATTGAATTAAGATTTAGTTATTGCTTATATTATTTGTTTTTTCTCGTTTAGTACATCCCACAGATAATGTTAGAATTGACCTGAAGATTCCTCCTGATCAGTACATCTACTTACGAGCAGCTACATCAGCTGAGAGACAACAGTGGTTGGTTGCTTTGGGAACATCAAAGGCTTGCTTGGCTAGGCCTCAGCCAAGTGATCAAAAAGGGGATTCAGACGTGTGTAAGCATCTCTCACTCTCTCTCTCTTTCTCTTAATCCTTTTTTCTTTCCCTTTTTCTGTCGCACTTGTTCATTACAGAAATGGGCTTGTCAAAAAGTACTGACATAATCTCTTTGTGACTGACTTTCAGCACAAATGAATCAGTTGAAAGATAGTATGCAAGAGCTTGGCATGTACAGAAGCCTACTGTTACAACAAGTTAATACCATAAAACTCTTGTGTATAGAAAAGAATCAAAGTCAGGTATTCAAATTTGTTACATGCATTCATTCATTACTCTGAGAAAGGACTACAGTGTAATATGATGATTGTTATTTAAAGTGCATTTAACCTCTGATAAAATACTAAACTTCAGTATTGATTTTTACCTGAAGTGAAATGTTTCTTCTTATAAAATAACTGTTCTGATTGGTTGGAAGCACTGCTTTATGAGAGCACACAACACATGTGCACACATTTGATCACATCATTCCTGTCCAAAATACATAATAATAATAATAATAATAATAATAATAATAATAATAATGAAGACTTTATTGAGTTTCCCCCGAAATACAATCGTAAATATAATAATAATGGGGTATTTCTATAGCGCATTTCAAATATCTCAATGCGCTTTACATTCATACCCAGTGGAGGACTTTACGGGCTGCGTTCATGTACAGCTATTCTATTTTTATTTTATGTGTATACAAGCAATCACACATTTTATAATTCTTTAATTTGAGAGTTTTGTCTTTAGATACAGTATTAATTATGACAATGTCTATTCACATGACATGRTGGTTAACTATTTAATTTTACTTTGTATTCTTAATGGTCTCTAGGAATTCAGTGAAGCAGCAACTATGCTGTCAGCGACTTGTGATGAGTTCCTCAAGAATCTGTGTGACTGCATGGAGCTAGCAGATGCCAACTTTGGTTAGTCGATCAACAATTATTCTCATGCATTAATTGTTGCCTAATTAAAGAACCCCAACCCCATTACTGTCATTCTAATCTAACCATGAACGATCGAGTTTGTTTTATTTTATTATTTATTTGTTTTTAAATATACTTTTATTTTTTCTTTCTCTTTCATCTATTCATCTCCTTGAATAGCTTTTATAGACTTTGATCAATATACATGTATGAAGCTTGAAAATTTTCTACTGTTTTCGATTTGTAATCTTATTGACAAACTCGAGTGTTCATGGTTAGAGTAGAACGACAGTAACAAGTATGTTGTCAAAGCACATCTGGAAAGGAAATCCAGAGACTCGGCTTTTACATGGTGATGGCTGATCTTAGGATTCCCTAGGACTTTTCTGAGTTCAGTAAATATGATGCATTGTGGTCTAGCTTTTGTGAAAACAATACCAGATGTAAGGCATGATGAATAAAAGATATTTACATGTGTACCTAGGCTATACCACAATGCATCATGTTCAGAATCTAAGGAAAGGCCTCTGCTACTCTGGTCCAATCTTTTACTAAAAAAGAAAATTAAGAACTCCACTAGGAGGGAATTCTTTGTAGTTATCCATCCCCCCCCCCCCGAGGAATTTTAAATTTCCTATGGGTAGGGGGGGTCTTTAAATAAGGTCCTCTTTAAGGGAGGGGGTGTGGATAATTTCTGGAACTACGCATTCAACAAAATCAAGATTCACCCCTAGAACACTCCACCTATTGCAAGGTTTCTACTAAAAATGAGATAGATGAAAATATTATTAAATAATATTAATTGATTATTTTGGTTTGTCTGGTCACAGGTGGGACACCAGATAAAGTAAGTGAACATTTTAAAGAACTTAATGAATATTCAAAAATTAAGAAAAAAATGTAATGTTTACAACATGAGCGGCCCTGTTGGATCAGCTATATAATCACGAGCCGGAGCCAAACCTAGACCACGATGCATCATATTTACTGAAGTCAAAAAAGTCCTTGAGAATCCTAAGATTAGCCATCACCATACAGAAGGTGAGTCTCTGGATTGGTATTTTTCAGATGTGCTTTGTATGGCCGATGCAACATGGAGACCAATGTTGTAAACAACTTGTGAAATTCATGAGTACAGTAATTGCCCTATTTCACTATGACGTCACCTCAAAACAATCTTCAACAATCTATTGTTTAAACGCAAAGGATCATGGTCGTCAGATGGGGTCAAATCAATGCAAATTCACTGAAAATTGCTCTGAAAACCGTATCAATCCAATTTTTAGTACATATTAACACATATTACATCTGAAAACCAGGCCATTTTAGATTAAACTGTTTCTATCTGTATTCTATTCTGTTTCTATGGGCGATTCTATCCCCCACATACATAAACATACGTGAACAAGCATTGACGTCATAGTGAAATAGGACAATTTATAAATCCTTTTGGGACATTTTGAATTCATATGCTAATTAGATACAACCACTAGTGCTTTATCAAAACTTGGCTTAGACCCTAATTAATTGTTCATGAATTTTACAAGATCTTACAGACTGCTGTGCAGTTGGCTCCCGGGGGGGTACTCTTGCCTGTTTAGCGTAGGGATGTGCTGCTGAGCCCACTGAACCCTGACCCTGTTCCAAAGTAAAATTGCTGAAATTCATACCCTGTTCCAGAGCAAGGTTGCTGACAATTATAACGTGTTCCGGTATTGCAAAAATGGATACCCTGTTCCAGAGAGGAGAGAGCATGATTTCTTTACCTTGTCCCAGAGCGAGCGTGATTTAATATACCCTGTTTCAGAGTAGAATCGCTGAAAACCATACCCTGTTTCGCGGCACATACCCGTATAGCAAATATAGGGGAGTCCCCCCCCCCCCCCGGGAGTTGGCTAAGATTCAATGTCAAGATGTTTTTCTTCTTCTTGTCTTTTTTCTAATCAGCCATTTTACTTTCCTAACTCACAGAGTAAATCAAAACACTCCAATTTTAGAAAACATTTGCTGCATGAGTCTCACAGGTAAGATCCATATTAGAGGCTTTTTTCAGAAAATGTTCACAACTTTCCTCAGTAATTGGCAAAAAATTCCAAATCTATCCATACGAATCATAGGACATGAACGACAATGAAACCGGTGGCCTTAATCCAAAGCAACAAAAGGCTGTCTATTTAATGTGCTACCTTGACAACAATAGACCTATCCTGAATTTGCTTGACTTGCTATGAAACAATGGTTTCAGGGTCTCCGGCTGACTCCGTACCTTTTAGGGTCAGATTTGTTCGTTTTGAAAAATATCAAACGTCATACAAGAATATAATGGTTGGAAACGTTGTCATTTTAAATGTGGTCATAACTTTTAGGGTCTAAAATCAGCATCTCAGTTAATTTATGCGTACCTTTTATGGTCATTTTCAAAACCGTCCGTCAAGCCCCCCTACTCACTTTTCAAGAGAGCCCCCCTCGCCCCTCCCCCACCCGGGCCATCTGCCCCTTCACTGCGGACTCGCATTTTCCCCATAATGGATAAACATTGTACCAAGATGAATTATTCTAAGCCTTTCTTGTTTATTTTTAGTCAAAATATTGATCTTAAAGCTATCAGTATTGATTAAATAAATATGATCTTGTAGAACAACATCTCCACCTTTATCTCCAACTTCTCCAACTTCAAGTATTTCTAGTTCATCATTTGGTTCAACAATGAGTGGTGAGTCCTATTAGGCTACTTGTATATTTTTGGTTTATCTCCAGGGTTTTGGGATTAATTCCTCCTGAACTCAGCATCACAGTACATTCCAGAAAGATGGGTACTTCATAGTTAACTATTCTCTACTTTCACATCCCCATAATGCCTTTAGGGGGGTAACCAATCAAAAAACTGCCAAATTGAAAGGTTTCTTAATTGAATTTATACTATACCTGCTTTTATCTGTACAATACTAATTATCAGTTTATTCCAAGTTATTTTTGCTTGTACAGATCATCAAGAGTTTTGGTCTTACAAACGTTTAAAAATTACCTTAAACGTCTTCAAGCTTCCATTTTTTTCTGTTTTTTACTTCTTCATTTTATCTTTGGATACCAAACAAGGTATTGTCAACATTGTCTAATCAGCCTTCAGCAAAATAAGTGGGTTTTTACCCTCTGGTTACCCCCCAAAGACGCAAAGTATTATGGGGATGTGAAAGTAGAGAATGGTACATTTGATCGCGAGCTGATTGCACCAAATGCTCGCAATCTGCAAGCGACTTCTTCGCACCATAGTTAATAGATTAATTAACTATTTTCTCACCTTTCTCTATCGTTGTTCGCGATCACAGTGTACTCGCGTACGATACGCGGTGAGATCCTGTCATAGTTAACTGACTAAGTTTTCTCTTCCACAAAAATCTGTTCCACAAAGGTTCTGTTTTGTTCTATCTTCGTGTTCGAATTTTTAGCCGGTTCGATCTGTTTGTTCGATAGACTTGGACAATCTTTTCGTCTGAAGCAACAAAAGGCAAAGAGTTTAAACTCTAAAGCTTTTAGTTTGTGTATAATGTTTATCAGATCTTGTTTTCTATGGCTTTCATATATCTCGATCGCACTCGAGAGTGTTAGGCCCTGGCTAAACGAGGAAACATGTTTCCCTAAATGTTTCCTAAGGTGGCAAAACTGTCAGGAAACATCGGGAAACAATGTTTCCATGCGTCTTGGAAACATGAAATGTTTCTTCCGCACGGCAAAAACATTTTTCCGTCTTGGAAGCAAAATTTGTTGCACGCAGCAATGTTTCGCATGTGGCTAAACTGGGAAACATCGAGGAAACATGCGCGCGATAAACATGTTTCTGGAAACATGTTTTCTCGTTTAGCCAGGGCCTTAGCATTCACTGACGCGAACAAACAACGGCAATATAAAGTGTTCTAATTTCTACGCCACAACGCAATCCATACATGTAACTGTAAGCTTTCTAAAAACGTGAATCGTTTAAATTTTATATTAGAACTGGACCTGCAAAACAAAATGAAATAGAAAATGAGTTTCGGATCTATTCATTGTGCAGATCGATTTTATTGTAAACACAGTGCCAAAGTCGAATCTTTCTTTGACTTTAATTTACATTTGCATCACCACTGACTAAACTAGGCCTCGTTCAAAAATGGGAAAACATTACATCCAAGCTAAAAGAGCATAAATAGATAAATGCTGTTTCAATCTGCATGTTTAAAACATACATTTTTGTTGTTGTTCTTTATCATTCACAGAACAACCAAGTTTATCTGCCACCAGTGAACATTCAACAGAAAGTGACAAAAGCTTATTGCCAAGGCAACCCAGGGCTGAACCAATACAACCACAGCAATCTGCTCACGGAACTGCACATAAAGTACACAATCATCCTGATAGCTCAAGGAATGGCTCTCCAGCTCCTGACAGCACTCAAAAACGCTTACAACCAGAACCAGCCACATTCTTTTCCACGGCCCCTCACAGGTGAGTGGTCTATTTTAGTTAGGTCTGTTTAAGGCCAGAACACATTGGGTAACAAGTTGCAGGCACACGACGTGATATCAGATTATATATATATATATATATATATATATATATATATACATGTAATGATGACGATGTTGTGTAAGGTTGCAAGGAATAAAAACATGAGTGAAATTTCCATGGTTGCTGCGCCAATTGGAACCGATTGCCACCTACTATAAGAAACTGACATTATAAATGAATTTAAAGCCTAGTTAAGGATATGTTTATACGATCTTTCCTTTTTAGTCATAATTTTGATTTTGTTAAGCGCCTGTGTACATATCCAGATGGAACACGCGCTATGTAAATGCATTATTATTTGTAGTATCATGTTTACCTATTCATGCAACCTATCTCCCTCTCTGTTACAACATAAATAAACCAATGAGCTCCTAGTTCCCAGGAACAATTAGGCTCATGTCAAACGTCGAACTTCACATGAGCCGAACCTAATGACATCAAAAAGGACTGCCTTGCTATCCATTGTTTCAGTTAGGTTCGGCTCATGAAATTTGACAATTGACCTGAGCCTTCGTATAAAATAAAAGCTTCTTGGTGTTGAAATCACTTCATGTGCACCAAGCAAGCAACTTTTCTCTTGAACAGTAAACATGGGATAGAATTATTGAAGCGAGTCATCTCTGAGACTTGTTACCTAATGTGTCCCGACCTTCATGCATAAGGGAGAAGATGGGGTTAGAAAATCATTGTACAGTACATGTAAATCTAATCAGTGAAAGTACTTGGTAACATTGTTTTCTCCAGCCTCTCACAAGTGTGTGGTTTACATGCAGCTATGCATAGGGGTGGAAATGGGACACTTGTCAGGGAGTGACAAGTCAAATATTAGGCAGATTAAGATTCCCGTTTTTTCTTCCTGCAAACCGCAAACGTGACCACGTTTTCATCGTTTCCCTACATTTCACTTTACCTTTAGCAAACCTTCTTGACAAAGACAAGTGTTCTTTTGTTTATCTTCCATTTGGAGATTTTTGCGATTCCTTTTCACTAATTTTAAAGAATTTTTTAGTGGTCAACTGACGTTTCACGTTTGCCGTAAACGAGAATCTTAAACTCTCTATTGGCTCCCATTCGTAACGTGGTACAGTGTCTGTATTCAGGATTATTTTCATTTGTTTTAGATTCGAAGATGTTTCGCTTACACCAGATAAGGGAATCCCAACCAAGTCATTTTTGGCTGCCTGCTCAAGTATCCTTCCATTTTTTGGTAGGAAAAAAAAAGAAAAATTATATCTTTTCAACACCTTTTAAACCTTATAACTTACAGTACTAAAACTTTAAAGCTGAATTTAATAGGACGTTTGCATGATGGCGTCATTTGACTCCCACTACCAGGATGCTTCGCGAATTTTCTTTCTTATTTAAATTTGTATTCCATCATGAGAATAGTAAGACAATAATTGGTGCTAACTAACTGAACAAAAGAAAGCGTGCAAGGGAGTCTGGTAGTAGAGGTCAATGACGCCATCATGCAAACGTCCTATTGTTTGATGATGTCCATGATGAATGATGATGATGATGTTGTTGATTATGATGATGATGACAGTGATGGTTTTCATCATGATGGATTATGACTGCACTGATAGTGTTGAGAATGTTGAGAGTTGATGCTGATGGTGGCAATGGTTATGGCATAGATCATTATAATGATGATTATTGTAAGGGTAATGACAGTGATAATGATGGCAGTGATTATGATAATGACTGATGATGATGATAAGGGTGATGGTGATGATGATGGTGATGATGATGGTGATGATGATGGTGATGATGATGATTATAATGATGATTATTGTAAGGGTAATGACAGTGATAATGATGGCAGTGATTATGATAATGATGACTGATGATGATGATAAGGGTGATGATGATGATGATGGTGATGATGATGATTATAATGATGATTATTGTAAGGGTAATGACAGTGATAATGATGGCAGTGATTATGATGATGATGGTGATGATGATGATGATAAGGGTGATGATGATGGTGATGGTGAGGATGGTGGCGATGGTGATGGTGATAGCAATAATTGTAGAATAAATGTTTCGTCAACCAAAAATAATTTAAATTAAAAATAATTTGTTTCTGGGCTTTCGGGCATTAGCGCCCATCGTTCAAAATTTTTGGTTGAAGAATCATTTAGTTTAGAGTTATCAAACCAACCTACAAAACAAACACGATGGTAATATTGATGAAAACCTCTGTTTTTATTTAGACATCCTTGGATCTACAGCTTTTGCTCCAGTCAAAATGGACATTGGTGGAAATATTAAAGTAAGATACTGTATGCCAAAGTTACTGCAATTGAAACTTTACTTTCTATTGCAAATTCTCGTTTCAGTTTACCAAATTTACCAAAGTTTCAAAAATATCTCTCATTAACTAATTCAACAAATTTCTGATATTTTGCACTATGAAAAAAACAGAAAGAGAGACAAATTTGCATTAGCAAAGTAGTATATTTAGGCGCCGTCCACACGTATCCGGAAATTTTTGTATCCGCAAAAATTAGTTTGCGGATACGAAAATGTTTGCGTCCACACGCAGCGTATTCGAATCGTTTTCACCGTCCACACGTGTCCGTTTTCGTAGAATTTGCGGATACGGTCACAAAAATTTGAGGACACGTTTGAACGCAACCCGTATCCGTAAAAAAAAATTGCAGATACAAAAATTTCCGGATACGTGTGGACGGGGCCTGGTTGGGCAAAGAAGAGATGGGGAGAGGCGAGAAATACCGGCCTCTAGCTCTTCTTCGCAACGCTGCAGACCATCGAGCAACTCAGTCTAATAAATTCATACTGTAAGCTTTTTCTACTTCCCTGTTTCCTCATTTCTATGTACAAATTACAGAAAATTAGTCATTGCTGGTATTTTATCTTTCCTTTTAATTTTATGTTTAGAAATTATCGATCAAATTTGATATGGACCCCAAGGCGTTTCATACTCTCCAGAACATGATCTACCAGGAAATAAAAAGTAATACTTGTACAGTGAAAAACGCGGCTACTGATGCGCTGCTCTGGTTGAAAAGGTGTGTACAACTAACAAATTCTATTAACGTATTCTACTCCTCCTCCTCACCCTTCTTAATCCTCCTCCTCCTCCTTCTCCCCCTTCTTCCTCCTCCTCCTCCTCCCCCTTCTTTCTCCTCCTCCTCCTTCTCCAACTCCTCTTCCTCCTCCTCCTCCAACTCCTCCTCCTCCCCCTTCTTTCTCCTCCTCTTTTTTCCTCCTCTTTTTTCTTCCTCTTTTTTCCTCCTCTTTTCTCCTTTTCCTTTCTCCTTCTTCTTTCTCCTTCCCCTTTCTCCTTCGCTTCATTCTCTTTTTGCTACTGCTGCAGTTATAACATTTCAAAAGTTACTATACCATCCTGACACTGTATAAAAACGAGTGCGCCTGTTCCAAATCCAGCCGTTAAAGCCACACTGCTCACCCGCAAATAATATTTTGCGTTAACCAATCACGCGTTCTTAAGCCGTGTCCATCAATCTGATAATAGTAAAGCAGTTTTCAAGCCGTACTTATCCTTTTATTCTTTTTTTTTTTTTTTAGGGCATTGGAATTTATGCAGATTTTTCTTTTAGAGGTTTTAAACGGAACTCAAGACTTGGCTGTCGCTGCAAGTATGCACCTTGTTTGCTGTTTTTGAAAATGGTTATTGCCTATATACCTATATACCTATTTCAAAAAAAAGTTGTCGGAGCAACCCAAAGGCGAAATAGGCGATAGGCGACACGGCTAAAAAACCGCCGCGCGTGCGTCAAAATTCCCGCCTGTTCCCAAAAACAAGATGGCGCACGCGCGAGTGTTTTCAGCGCTTTTTTAGCCTTGTCGCGATAGGCGATAAGTGATAAGCGATAGGAGATAGGTCATTACGAGATGCAAGAACAGCTGGAATTATTTGTGTTTCTGCTTCTTCATTCTCGTCAAGAACGTGGACCTCAGATTGACATTGATTCAATGTTTAAAGGCCTCTATTTTTTTTTTTTTATTTTTTTTTATTTATTTTGTGGTACGTCCATAATTCCTTTCCGGCTTGGAATAACCTGTCACTTTTGGCTCAACAAAACAAAACCGCAAAACAGCTCTGAGCAACAGACACAATAACAACAAAACAAGTAAATACAAACAAACAATCGAAAAAGAGCAATAAAAGAACACCACTAAACAAAAGACGAGAACTAATGACGAGAGTATAAACTGAAAAATGCCCTTTATAGATCTTATCAATGCAGTGGTCTTCAATATGCTAACTAGAAATCGGTGATGTCGTGAGTGACTGATCTAGTTTAGGCTAGTGTGAACGCCCTGACAGTAAAAAAGTGGGATGCTTCACAATAGATTGCTTCGACGATACGGTGGCCATCTTTGATCGCAATGCATTATGGGGCGTCCAAGGGGCAAATAAAGCTTTGTTACAGTGATGACGTGGATTGATATTAACAGCTTACCACAAGAGAATACAACAAGAGATGGATTAAGACAGCCTCGATCACCTTTAAAAAAACACATTAAAGAAAGACAAACGCACAAAAGAAAGAAACACATAAGACTCTATATTTTCCGTCATCTTTGTTTCGTTTTGCCCCTTGGCAAGATAGCCGCTGTGTCGTCTAAGTAGTCCATTGGTCTTCTTACTGAACATATAGCAATCGTAGTATTGGTATCTTTCAGGTGTCGCCTACGAAAATACTTTAAAGAAGTATCATGGATGGATTGTTCGTGGTGTATTCGCAGTAAGTGATCATCTTTTAAGAGTATATTGTTCTTGCAGTTCATAAAATGTATTTGGAAACAATCTTTTTAATCCATAACGATCTACTGTATTCGGCGTGAGCGCAGGGGCAGATGTAAGGGGGGGGGGGGGGGGGGGGGGGGGGGGGGGGGGGGGGGGGGGGGGGGGGGGGGGGGGAGGGGAATGGCTGCATCCGGCTGGATCCGCACTTGGAGTATCCATTGACCATCCACTTGCGTTTATCATAAACGCGAGTGCATGGCAAGCCTCCTACGCGGACCTTCTTAGGTTCTGTCACGCATCGTCTACCTCCCCACGAACATGACAGACCCTAAGAAGGTTTGTAGGACTCAAATGCATGGCTGGTGTTCACGCTCATGTACACGCTCATAACAAGGTGTTAGAAGTCCTAGCACCTTAAAGCTTTTGATCTTCGATATCAAATTTTTAACGTTAAACTATTCCAGCATAGAGGTTGGAATACACACCTCCCTGATTCCACATAATTGTTGTTTTTTTTGGACCCGATTCTCGTCTTCCTAGTTAAGTCGAATCTTATATGAAGGTAGTCTCCCTCGCATCCGTTTTTATTGTCGGTCGTCACGCAACGCTCCCTCCGAGCGTTGCGTAACGGCCGACACTAAAAACGGATGCGAGGGAGACTAATATGAAGGTAACCAAAACAAACACTCACTGAAACAAAGACACACACACACAAATTCGCAATCCTTTATTGAATCCCCATGGCATGGTAGACCATGGTAGAATGGGTACTGATAATATGATAGTCATGGTATCATAATATAAGGTGCATGCCATAAAGGCATTGTTTTTGATCCTCGATAACGTACCGCACTTTGCCGACTCAACTCTGTGGACTCAAAACCTTTTTCAAAATGCCCTTAAATAGAAGCTCTACTAATTTAAAACTTTAAAATTTTTAAATCTCGTCCTAACCCGTCTGCCTTTTTAAATATTTAAAAATATTCCTTGCTTTTCAAAGTCTACCTATTCCTGACATTCCCCACACGGCTCACACTCTCATCTCTCATATTCCCGACATACGAGATTTCCATCTTGATGATGTGTAACCATTGCATACAGACCGCGGAGTGGACTTAATACGTGTCAGTGTCATTACGATGCTTGCTGTTGCCAAATGTTCTGGAAATTAGCAGACCAACTCAAAGTTTGATGAAAATTCGTTGCAATTTCGAAATACACTGAAATGTTGGAGTGACGGCTTGAGTTCAAGCCGCCCTACACCCTCCCCCTTATCCTCATCCTTTTCGCTTACGCTCATTCCCCTGATTTTAACTATTTTCATCACCATTGAAGAACTTTATCACTTGTTCATAGATGGCTGTTAAAGCTGTTCCTTACCGCGAGGATTTCCTTACAGCCCTCGGGACGATAGACCATCACTGTGCTCCCCCTGCGGTAGTGTTGCGGCATATAAAAGTCACCGTGACTGCTCTTGGTAATTTAATTGACATTCTAAATAAGTTTTACCAGACGAACAAACTGGATGCTGACTATACCGTGTAGAATTGTGGATCAAATCTTTTTGAGGGAATGGAACGAAGCCGAAAAACAACCAATGAATGGGCTGAGGGAAAATTTTAGAAGAAAGCGCTTAGAAATTACGAAAAAAAGGGAGCTTGTCAATTTATGGCCGTGTTAGACAAAATGATAATATGGTACCTAATAATTGAAACTATGGACATCAAACGCTGGAAGTATCTTTTATATGTATCAGTGGCTGACCAACATGAAAGCATGGTGCGGTTTGGCACGTAGAAAGAGATTTCTTTACGTACCTTGGCAAGCATCAGACCTGGTTCAGTGTGTGGTACCCGGGGTTTCCAAACGCTTGTAGTCCTTTAAGTGAGGTACTGTACTCAAGTACTTGTGCAAGCATTAGGACAAGGTTGTAGAATTTTTGTAACACCTTATCGAATAATAGTGATTATTTGGGTACCTTACTTATCTATTGGGTATGCTTGAGACAATAGTTTAGTGTGGTACACCAGATACACCTGCATTAGACAAGGGTATGCATTAGACAAGGGTATGCATTAGACAAGGGTATGCATTAGACAAGGGTATGCATTAGACAAGGGTACACCAGATGTCGAACTTTTGTGTGCCCGTATAAAATGACACTGATTCTACGGATACGTATGCATGAGACAAGGGTGTGGGGTGGTACCCAGATGTCGAACTTTTATAGGCCCGTCATGTATATAAAATGAAATGATGCTATGGGTACCTCGTTTGTAGTTAACTTTGACAACAACGGATATAGATTATGATTAAATTATGTAAGATATTCATAAATTAGAATGTAACAAAAATAAAGCTAACATTTGAACATGGGAAATAAATATTTTTTATCACTGATATTTCAACAGTTTTAATATTTATATAAGTATAGTTGTTGGTGATTTTTTTAGTTGTTGCAGTTTAGACTTTGTTTAGTAATGAGGCCTTTCTGACCTCGCTTCCATTCAATTGTCCCTAGTCCCAACCGCGTTTGGCGGCCATTTATGAGAAAGGTGTATGGTGAAGGGCAAACCAACTAGTGACTCGTATTCGCGCCGCCTCTTTTTGACAATTCACATTCCCTCCCAATTACTTATATATAGACTAACTATTATCATAGGAATTAAAGAATATAAACACCTGGCTTTGATTTTGATGGTCAAGGAAAGTGGTAAAAATGGCAATTGAACTAGTGATTTCATTAACCTGTGAAAAAATAGTACGCATAATAGTTAGTAGAAGACTCTAAACTTATTGTTTTGGGTTTTTTTTTTGTTGTTTTTTTTTGTTTTTGTTTTTGTTTTTGTTTTGTTTGTTTGTTTGTTTGTTTTTTGTTTTTGTTTTGTTTGTTTGTTTTTTTGTTTTTTGTTTTTGTTTTTTGTTGGTTTTTTTTGTTTGTTCTTTTTTTGTTTTTTTTTCCTCATCAACTTTGATTTTTATCAATTTTTCACGTGATAAATCGTATTTGGAAAAGGCTGGCAAGTTGAGTGTTTGTTTTAAAACCTGTTGACTTATTAACGCTACTTAATTCGACCAATTTGTCGATGTTCTATTATTGATTTCTTTTGTTTTATCTGTTTGATAAAAGACAAGACTATTTAAAAGAAATTGGGAAAATTCTTTTTCGAAGAGAATGAATGTGTAAGTGATAAAAGGGATAAATGAATGGATCTTCAAATGATAAAAGCATGCATTGATGAAGATGGAGACGTAAAATTACCGTATCAGGATTCCATGAGGTGAATTCAGTTCAAGGTATAATTACTGTAATAATTATCGTTAATTGATATTTTATTCTTCTTATCTCTATTTTTATCTTATATTTTTGCGTTAATACTGTAAGACATTGAAGGGACGTAGCCGTCAGTCACTTTTTATCATTTTTCCCCCAAAAGGATGATTGGAGAAAGCATTTTTGATTTTCTTTAAAAGCGGACGACTTTCGAAATGGTGGCTACCCTGCATCATTGAACATTTGTGTGGCGGGAAAAGGGTTCCCCAAAACTGTCACCACTCATACAACTGAAATATCCATTTTTCTTCTTTTCAATAATCTTTATTCCTGTATATCAGGAAAGATGCTAATAAGATTATAGAAGAGTTCATTAGGTCCATTCTCCCTTTTTCTCAGGGTTCTTCGGGTTTCCTCACTCCGCAAAACCGAACATGCTAAATCTGTGAGTTAGCCGCCCCTACTTTGATCAGCAAGGAGGCTGTATCAGGGTACTTCGACTTGTAAAATTTGAAGAGTGTAATTTTAGTGTCATCAAGATTTTCACGGACCATAAAAGTATTTTTCTAGGTACAGCGTAGTAACAAAATGCGAGTTCTTAGTATTTTGTCACTAGAAATTCAAGAATACACTGAACAAAATTACTCGATTCTGATTGGACAAGAGGACTACAATTTAATCCCAAATTGTACTCTGTAGAGTCCAAATTAAGTTGCTCAATTTTGTTGAGCGTATTATAAACAAAAAATCGCACAATCTTCTAGTACAATTTGGAATTTATAGATACTCGTGATGTTTTTAAGGCTCGTCCAATTATGAAAACTTTCAAAACATCACTCGTACCTATAAATTCCGAATTGTACTCGAGATCGTGCGATTTCCTATACAAATATTCTTAGTACACCGACTAAGAAACTAAATGATTCTGGCGTAAGAGGCACCGAGATAGCACATTTGACTATAGTATTTAGTACACCGACTAAGAAACTAAATGATTCTGGCGTAAGAGCCACCGAGATAACACATTACTATAGTATTTAGTACAGCGACTAAAACACTAAATGATTCTGGCGTAAGAGGCACCGAGATAGCACATTACTATAGTATTTAGTACACCGACTAAGAAACTAAATGATTCTGGCGTAAGAGACACAGAGATAGCACATTACTATAGTATTTAGTAAAAAGCCTAAAACACTAAATGCTTCTGGCGTAAGAGACATAGAGATAGCACATTACTATAGTAATTAGGAATATTGATTATTGCAATTATTTTATCAATCGTAGTAAAAAAGATGGCGCTTTCTCGGTATTTTGTCCAACTTTACTAAAAATTCGATATGGCCAGTTTTCTTTGTAAACTGATATCGTTGCTTTCCTTACACTAAGAAACTAAGGGATTCTTGTGTTAGATTCATGAAGATAGCTTAATGGAAATAGCATATCGGTTAGTGTATGATAAATGAAAATGGCCGTCGTATGAACCTTGGCTTGAAATGGCTACTCATTGTCTTTGTGCAGTATTTCGTCCAATCACAATGCGTATTTACGTCTAAGGTTCGACTAGAGTACAACTATAATTTGCCTTATCCTTCCCACTCATACAAAAAACGCTCTATTAACTAATTTTATAATTCAATTTTTGTACGTTAAGATCTTTAGTCGCATAAATGGACGACCTAGGTCCTGATAACATCGACGCCAACCAAGATCCGCAAATGGCAGCATTTGATGTATCACCAATCATCCTCTCTCTAGAAGCCGCAGCAACCATTGGAATGTGTGCAACAGTTGTCATTGGCAACAGCCTTGTTTGTGTCCTTGGATACCGCAAGCCAAGCAGTCCGAGCTCCTCATTGGCTAACACAATATTGATTTACATGTCGGTGGTGAGTTTGCTTACTGCGTTGTTAACAATGCCACTAATGGTGGCGGCCATCTTAGAATTTCGATGGCGCTATGGAGATACTCTCTGTAGAGGCACTGGAACATTGACTTTTGGTTTCGTTGTCCTTACAAGTATTCTAGTATTTTTCATCTTCATGAATCGTTGCTGTGATATGCTGTGTTGTACCAGCGAACGCGAAACTTACGGTAGAAAGCGGGGATGGCTTATTGTGGTATTTTTCTTCATGGTCGGTTCTCTGTCAGGTCTCTTCTTCTTGATTGACTGGGAAGGTTTTCTTAAAAATCCAACACGACACCTTTGTCGCCTGGCCAACTCACCCGCTCTTATGGCATATCGTGTCTTCTATGGACTATTTTCTGTTTTACTAAGCATAGTTATTATGATCTTATTATCTCAGTCTAGAAAAAAAGCGTAATGTAGTATCCTGACATGTTCCATCATGTCGAGTCTCCTCGGGAGTTATGGTGGGCGATGGCTTGCCACGTTGGTCTGTGTCTCATACCTGCCCATATCTCATCAGTTGACTGCAGACCAGTGTCACGCCTAAGCTGATCTATAAAACTTAGCTTTTGACCTCCACGAGAAGCTCGACCCTGACGTGGTTCCAAGACATGATCCAGGCGGTTCCTTCCAAATTTATAAGTCCCCTTCACAGTTCCGTGCGCCATTTTGAAAGGTAGCCCTGCCTTTGCATCGAAGCGAGACGAACGGCGCGCTTGCAATGATAGAGACATGTGAATAATTGTCCAAGGTGTTAAAAAAAGGTCTCTATCATTGTAAGCTCACCGTTCGTCTCGCTTCGATGCAAAGGCACGGCTACCTTTCAAGATGGCGCAGGGAACTGTGAAAGGGCTATTGGCGATGCTTGCGAAAAATCTTGTTTCTTCACAGACACCCTGGATTGATCAATCTTTTGCCATAAGTTTGGGAATCAATAGCCTGCGCCACGTCCACACAAATACCAGACTAAGTGGTTATCAACAGTAAACCACCAAAAGTCTTACACCAATGGAAGTTTTTTTCAGTTCTATGAATACAACTTTTCTTTTTGAAAAAGAAAATTGTTGCACGTGTATATATAGCGGAATTTCAGCTGCAACTATTTTTTTTYCTTTTTCTGTTCCTGGAAATGTCGTCGTTGATAAACCCTATTGTTGGCTTCTCAAAAGCAGTAATAAAGAATAATTTCCAAGACATTTTTTAAGTTGTGGCGTATTTCCGGGACCAACTGCCAACAAAAACCGCTAGGATCATAACGCGAAACTTTTTCCCAATGATTTTACTTCCAACTGAGTCAATCAGGTCTTTGGACATAAGCAACTCAATTTGGAGGACAAAACATAATAGTTTCAATCTCCTGAGCATTGGAACCTATTGCTATGTCCTCAAAAATTTAGCTGCATTTCGACGTACTGCAAGGGGTCTATTGCTTTTTCTTGTGGACCAGGAAGTCAGTTTTTCCATACCATTTGATTGAGGTTACACTTAAAAGGTTTATAGTTATTCTATCTTGTGCTGTATATTATGCTTTAAACATAGCTACTGATACTGAATCTCGTTTCCCTGAGAGCGCGTCTTTGGAGTGTCTTTTATTAGGACGTTTAATGTCCGATTCAGGATTGCTTTCATTCATCTTGTGCTGTATACTATGCTTTAAACATAGCTACTGATACTGAATCTCGTTTCCCTGAGAGCGCGTCTTTGGAGTGTCTTTTATTAAGAAGTTTAAGGTCCGATTCAGGATTGTTTTCATTGTCTTCCTCATTTATTTCTTTTAATCCATTCTCTTCTGGAAACTGATTCGCTGATTCCGAGTCCTTTTTGCCAGTGACAGAACGTACGACTTTGCCGCTTATGCCATACGCCTCGTACAGATTATTCAGCGAGCATAGAATACTAGACACAAAAGCCAAACCAATGAATGCGACGATGACTAGTAAGAAATCCAGAGTGTTGGCGAAGTAGGGAACAAAGTCGCCATAACCAATCGTTGTTAAAGTCGTAAATGTGAAGTAAAAACATTCGAAGTACGTCCATTGATTAGCTTCACGCACATAGACTATAGCAGTGCAGAGGGGCAACACCAGGAACGCCGTAAAAATCAAATTAAACAACGTTGTCTTGAGTTGAATCTTCTTTGGCCGTTTTATCTTTAAGATACGTCGCTCGACGGCTTCGATGAGGATAGACGTTAGTTCAGAGATCTTGTCTCCTACGGCTTTGAGAGTTAGGCAAGTGCCAGGAATACCTATGAAAGCGTACACTATACAGAACAGGCGACCACCGACTGTCATTGGCACTATGTTACCATAACCTGTAAAAGTAAAATCAGAAAAAAATGAACACAGAAAATGTAGCAGCATTTCTTTATCCTAAAACTTTTAGATTCTTGAAAAAAAACGTGCTATGCACGACGCACAACTTATTTCTGATTCGTTCCTAACGATCAAGATTACGACCGAGATAAGGTACAAAGGATTAAAGTACGGGTTTAAAATATGTTTTCTTTGTGTACCGTTAATAAAGAACAATCCTGGGCCCGGTTGTACGATGGGTGGGTAGCGCTATCCAACGGATAAATCTTATCCAGTGGATAAATTTATTGAATAACAGCATCGACTGAATAAGGATTTATCCGTTGGATAGCAAGTCATTATTCACCCTTCGTACAACCGAACCCTGTACAATATCAAACAGCCATCTTTGGTTACAAGGCTTTCAGTAATAGACATTCCTAGTTTGAGTGAAAAAAACTAGGTCAAGTTGGTATTGTAGTGCAATGTGGGATCGTTTTAAGGCTGGTTTAGACGGTACGATTTTCGCCTACAACTATCGTATACAACACGCTCGCGCGCCATCCTACAACTCGAGTCGTAGCGTGTCAATCAAGCCTACAACTCGCCTACGACAGACGCGAGCGTGTTGTATACGATAGTTGTAGGCGAAAATCGTACCATCTAAACCGGCCTTCAGGGGACAAAATAAGCGCCGTCTTGGAAATATGTCCTTTACAGCAATTCACAATGCACTGCAGTGTCAATTCGACCCATTCTTTACTTCAACCTCGGAATATCAAATAAGTATATACTATATTGTTTACAATATGAAGCCCATATTCGACTTTTACATTTTCCCCCCCTTTTTTTAACATTTTTAAAATGATATATATCTATAAATATTTAAGATAAGCGTGTTTGCGTTTTCATACATTCATGACTAATATATTGGCACAGGAGAATGATATCTCTCCTTCAGTGTTTAACCGAATTTGCACAGCATGGCGGTAAGCCTCTAGTCTTAATAAATTTCCAATTGAATATCGCACTATGATGATAAATCGAGTTTGTTTTGATAATTATGATTGTCTTGTGGTGAGATCAGCACACCTGCCGAATTAAAACTCGCATCGTTTTTAGTGGTGTATTTGCTAGAAGTCAATCATCTTCATTCATCTTCTGCTTGGCATGAGCTTTAGGGCGAAAGGTTTAAGATCTTAGAACTGTGATGAGAATGGAAACATTCAACTTGGACGCAATGTGTTTCTTTCTGTTCTTTCTTTTTTTTTCTTTTTTTCTTTTTTACTTTTCTTTTCTTTTCTTTCCTTCTTTCTTTCTTTCTTTTTCTTTTTTTTTTCTTTCTTTTTTTCTCTCTCGCAGCACTGCAACAGACCATGGGGCGTATTGCTTCCATTTTAAGACCACGTGTCATTCCCATGAATATTATTTCTTTCTCATTATTGCTCTTAAAAGACTTAATAATTCTGATGACACTAGACAAAATATCTTATCCTCGGGGAATCTCGTGGTCTATTTCTGCTAACAATTATTGCGCACCACTTGATAGATAAAAGATAGTTGAGTAGAAAAGGGTTTTACTTTAAGAATATTTAACATGCCGGGGAACATACGACTATTTTTCCGTTGCGATTCAGTTATTACATGCAGAATTATCAAAAAATTCACTGCTTCAAGTGTTTATTGCTTCTAGAAAAAGTCAACTCGAGTTAATTTAAAATGTTTCAAATCTCAAATACCAACAACTTTTAATAAACATCAATAAGGTATTAGCATAAGTCCAAAATTGCTAGAGACTCATTCGCTCTCATATTAGTGGAATGAATAGCTTAGTTTGAAGCCTATGACAAATTCGACAAATTC